GCCTGTGCCTGTCCGTGTGTCTGCCTGTGCCTGTCCCTGTGTGTTTATTCAGGCCTGTGCCTGTCCGTGTGTCTGCCTGTGCCTGTCCCTGTGTGTTTATTCAGGCCTGTGCCTGTCCGTGTGTCTGCCTGTGCCAGTCTTTGCCTGTCCATGTGTGTTTGTTCAGGCCTGTGCCTATCCGTGTGTCTGCCTGTGCCTGTCCGTGTGTCTGCCTGTGCCTGTCCGTGTGTCTGCCTGTGCCTGTCCGTGTGTCTGCCTGTGCCAGTCTTTGCCTGTCCATGTGTGACTGTTCAGGCCTGTGTATGCTTGTTCAGGCCTATGCCCATCTGTATGCGTCTGTTTGTTCAGGTCTGTGCCCATCTGTCTGTGCCTGTCTATTTATGCCCATGCCAGTCTGTGTCTGTCTGTACTCGTCTGCCTGTGTCTGTCTGTGCCTCTCTTTCTATACCTGTCTGTTCTGGCCTGTGCCTGTCTGTGCTCGTTTGTGTGTGTCTGCATGTGCCTGTCTGTGTCTGTCTGTGCCTGTCGGTTCAGACCTGTGCCTGTCTGCTAACACCCTCTCTGCCCTCCCCATCCCCGATTCAGAACAAGGTGGTGACGTGCCTCCAGAGGCCCTGCCCACGGCAGTGCTCCCACCCAGTGCCCTCTGCTAGCTGCTGCCCATCCTGCGACTCCTGTCACTATGAGGGCATGATCCATGCCCACCTTGCGACTTTCAGCCCGGCCTCCAGTCCATGCCAGCGCTGCAGCTGTATACTGGGCAGTGTGAGCTGCATCCCTGGGGTGTGCCCCCCCCCATCATGCCCCCACCCCATCACCGTGCCTGGAGAGTGTTGCCCCAAATGCCCAGGTGTGTCTCCTAATTGGAGAAGTGACCTCTCTGACTCTGTGGTGAGGTTCCAGTGTACAATGGTAATGCAGTGCAGTGCCCAGTGCGGGTAGTGCTGTGCCTCTCTTCAATGCATGGTGTCTCCCCGCTGATTAACTTAATGGCAGATTAGTGGTTGAGAGGGGGGGGCATGGGTTTTCTGTCTTTGATGATTCGAATGCGCTTCCCCTCCCCCCGCCACAGTGTGCAGCCATCAGGGGGCAGAGTACAGAGAGGGAGCTCGCTGGCTGTCGAAGGCGGACTGCCAGGATTGTGTCTGTGTGGTAAGACTCTCCTTCCTGTTAGACGACTGAGAAGCTAGAGTGAGGGCTGGGCTCACAGCCGCTGCCTCTGTGCCTGTCTGTGTGAGTCTGCGTGAGTCTGTGCCCGTCTGTGTGAGTCTGTGCCTGTCTGTGTGAGTGTACGTGAGTCTGTGCCTATCTGTGTGAGTCTGTGCCTGTCTGTGTGAGTCTACGTGAGTCTGTGCCCATCTGTGTGAGTCTGTGCCCATCTGTGTGAGTCTGTGCCCGTCTGTGTGAGTCTGTGCCTGTCTGTGTGAGTCTGTGCCTTTCTGGATCCTAGTTGACTTTCCCTATGTCTAAAGTGGCCAAAGACAGACAGCAGAGGGCAGCAGAGGGCAGCAGAGGGCAGGCAGTGCCCCTGTGTACCGAATTAATGGGACAGAGTGCTAAGACCTGTAGGGGGATCCTAAGCTATACTGCTGGGAATCAGCTGTTCTGCCTGTTTTCCAGGGTGGCGAGGTGCTGTGTGCACCCCCCTCGTGCCCCCAGCTGACTTGTGTGCACCAGGTGATGGATGAGGGATCCTGCTGCCCGCGTTGTCGAGGTACAATGTCACAGCTCCAGCTGTCACAGAGGTTTAAGATAAAATCTCAAGAATCTCGTTTTGCTCAGTACAGTAGTAAATGAGAGATGCTTTCAGTTAAGAGGCCTTCATCTCCATGACCATTGTTACATGCTGGCTTTGCCGTTGGGTCGCCCCCTGCAGGTTGTGTCTATAACGGAGAGACGCACGCGGATGGCAGCACCTGGTTTGCCTCTAGTGCTCCCTGCATGTCCTGCATGTGCCTGGACGGTGTTACCACATGCTCCGAGGTGCGCTGCGTGTCCCCCTGCGTGACGCAGGTGCTTGTCCCCGGGGAGTGCTGTCCCCTATGTGCAGGTGTGTCACAGCGCCCCCTACCTCTGAAACACTCATCATTGACAGAAGCAAACAAACAGATACCAGCTTTACTGTCACTGTGCACATGAGGCAGCAGGAGCCATTCGTACAGTAGTAAAAAAGGCATGCTGAGATTCAAAGAACAGACTTTATTTTAATTACATGGCAGCTTCCACAGGTGATAATATCCAGGCTTCCAGAGGAGGGCCAGCTCAGAGCCTCTCTGATTAGGGGAAAGTTTAATCCCCAATCTGCTTCCCATAGACTGTCTCTACAACGGCCACACATACAGCCCAGGAGAGAGCTTCCACCTGACTGATGACCCCTGTCAGATCTGTACTTGCGAGGTGGGTCTCACACACACAGGTTTTAGTGGTAAGGGGACAGAAGGGCATTGCTCCAGGGTCCAGTGGTGAAATCACTCTGCCGAGGCTGGGATTTGAACCTGTGACCCCAGGGGTGGTAGCTGCCCTTCTACTGTGCTCTGACCTGAAAGCCATTTCAAATCATCTCTTACTTTGATGTGGATCCTTTTATCTGAGGTTGAGGGAGGTTGGAGGTAATAATAATAATAATAATAATAATAATAATAATAATAATAGATACTTTATTGATCCTCGTGGGGAAATTATCTTTACACCTCTCTCAGCTTGTAGAGTAAGTTGTCTGCGAAGGGCAGCCACCCATAGTGGTGCCCAGGGAGCTGGGGGTTCAGGGCATCATCATTTATGTTGGGGAGCTTCAGACCCTCTGAACTCCTATGGGACAAAGGCTTGTGCTTCAAGATGGTCCCTCTTTCCACAGTCGATGGAGATTTGGAGCCTCCTCTGGCCCTCCTGTCTGTCCTTCTAGGGCTTATGGCAGCTATTGAATGGGAGTAGAGCATGTTTGAGAGGTTTAGAGTTCAGAGGATGACCTGAGGAGGCGCAGAGACCTGATGATATGACAGTTTACTAAAGTTCTTCCAGCTCTGGCTGTCCTGCTCCTAAAGAATCATGTCTTTGTGTTTATGGATGAAAAGAACATCAATCAGGCAGGTCCTATGTGTGAGAATGTCCATTGGTCAGGATAAAAATGAACTGAATTCAAAGACTGTGTCTCTGTGTGCAGGTCCTGCCCGATGGTATGCAGCACCTGCACTGTTACAGAAAGCTCTGTCCCAGCCTGGTGGACTGTCCCAAGAGCAACATCCTGTTCTCCGGCCCAGATCTCTGCTGTCCTGTCTGCGCCCGTTAGTACTGAGCTTGTTCTGTTGCATACCGTCCTCTGGCCTTTCGCCCTCTATCAGAGACCCTGAGTAACTACGCCCTCTATTACATCCCCTGAGTAATTACACCCTCTTTCAGAGCCCCCTAGTAACTGTGCCATCTGTCAGAGCCCCTGAGTAACAGTGCAATCTGTCAGAGCAACTGAGTAACTGTGCCCTCTGTCAGGGGCCCCGAGTAACTGTGTCCTCTGTCATAGCTCCCGAGTAACTGTGTCATCTGTCAGAGCGACTGAGTAACTGTTCCCTCTGTCAGAGCCCCTGAGTAACTGCGCCAACTGTCAGAGCCCCTTAGTAACTGTGCCCTCTGTCAGAGCGACTGAGTAACTGTGCCCTCTGTCAGAGCCCCTGAGTAACTGTTCCCTCTGTCAGAGCCCCTGAGTAACTGCACCATCAGCCTTGGGGGCAGTGAGATCCATGCCACCGATGACCCTTGCTACAGCTGCCATTGTAAGGTAAGGGACCCTGCCCACACCCACCCAATGCACCCCCTATAGGTGTGCCATCATCTTGTCGAGCAGGATCTTCTGATGCTCTTCTATGGACCCAAAGGGCTCCCAGCCCGGTCCTGGTTGGTCACTTATCAGAAAGCGCTGCTGACCCCAATGAGTCCAATCTGGCTGCCTCTTACCAGGCGGGCTTTGCTGTCTGTGAATAGCCTGGCTGACTCCTGTCTCCCCCTGGAAGGACCTGACCTGGACCTGCACCCACCGGGGCTGCCTGCCCCTTAGCTGCCCCCCCGCGGAGCAGTTCACCCCTCACGACGCCTGCTGCCCTGTCTGCCAGGGTACGGAGCACGTCCATATACAGGCCGGGCACAGAGAGAACATTCTAGAGGTTGCCTGAGAGAGACAGACATGAATGGTTCAAGCCAGACGGGTGCCCACCCCCTGGATCTTTGCAAGTGATGGATCCGTGTCTTGCAGAGTGTGTCATCGAGAGTGAGAATCGGCGTGTTGAAAGTGGAGTGAGATGGACAGACAGCGCGGACGAGTGTGTCACATGTGCCTGTAACGTGAGTGGCAGTCAAGACCCCCCACCAACTGTCATGTGACCCACTCCACCATGTACCAGTGACTATCTGGCTGCTTAATCATCACATTCCCACCTCCTGGCCCCTGCAGCTGGGATACATTGAGTGCAGCATCGAGGAATGTGCCCCCGCCATCTGCCAGGATGGATTTGTCAAGGTGAAGACTGCTGGCAAGTGCTGCTATGAATGCCAAGGTATGGGCACGGCCGCCAGAGTGTGGTGACCCTGTGTAACACGGTCCCCAAGCAGCCGCCGAAGTGTGGTGACCCTGTGTAACACGGTCCCCAAGCAGCCGTGAGCCCCCTGGGGTGATGTGCTGCTATGAATGCCAAGGTATGGGCACGGCCGCCAGAGTGTGGTGACCCTGTGTAACACGGTCCCCAAGCAGCCGTGAGCCCCCTGGGGTGATGTGCTGCTATGAATGCCAAGGTATGGGCACGGCTGCCCGTAAATTCCCAAAACACGAGAATCGAGCATTTGTAGAAGCTCAGGTGTGAGATTGTGAAAGATTTTATAACTGATTTTATATCTATCTGTGTTCACGTCTGTGACTGTCAATGTGTCTGTGTATTTGTTGTATGTTTGTGCTTTGTGCTTGTCTGTCTGTCTGTGCTTTTCTGTGTGTGTCTGTGCCTGTCTGTCTGTGCCTTTCTGTGTCTGTCTGTGTCAGACCCCAAAGTCTCCTGCACCTACCAGGGCGTCATCTTCCTGTCCAACGAGCACTGGCAGGTGGACGAGTGCACAAGCTGCACCTGCGTGTCAGGGGAGGTGCACTGCCGGACGGAGCGCTGCCCTCCTACACCCTGTGCCGCAGTGCGTTTCCCGCTGTCTACAATACCCCACACAGCACCATTCCTGTAAACACTGGCATCAGGACTGTAACCCTTCGCAGCCTGAATGTGGCCCTGGGCATTGTGGGCAAACAGCCACAGGAAGGAGTCGCTTTTGCATAGACTTGTCTCCTCATCAGCCTCCTCTTCCTCCTGCTTCCCCTCCCTGCACACCAGGATGAAACCCCGGCTCTCATCCCCGGAATGTGCTGCCCACACTGCATACCAAGGCCAGCAACCTGCGTAGCGTTTGGGGATCCCCACTACCGCACTTTTGATGGGAAGATGGTCAACTTCCAGGGGGCATGCACCTATGTGCTGGCAGAGGACTGTGAGGGAGGAGACTTCAGGTGAGGAGGTATCTTAATTCTGTATCTCCATCCTCTCTCTCCATCCTCTACCTCCATCCTGTATCTTCATCTTGAATTTTCATCCTGTATCTCACCCTCAGCTTCCATCCTCTACCTCCAAATTCTGCTTTCTTTCTGTATCTCCATCTTCTACCTTCATTTTGTACCCCCATCCTCTGCCTACATCATATATCTCCACCCTGTACCTCCATCCTCATAGGCAAACTGTGAAAATATGGATGGACTTCCTTCTCAGCATGTGAAAGCTGTTTCCTGTGAGAAGTTTTCTGCAGTATTCCTAAGCTGCCCCGGGTTCAAGTCCGATCCTTCCTGTGTGTACATTTTGGATTTAGTGGTTTCATGAGGGCTGTGTAATTGCCCTCCAGAGGAGAGGAAGACAGGGGTTTCCTCCTTAACTGCAGGTTCTCCTGCAGTGAATTCTGGGCATGTCTTGTTATGTAACTGCCACTTCAGATCAGAGTAGAGAGCAGATCTTAATCCCCTTTGGGGGTCCACAGCATTCACGTCACCAATGAGGACCGGGGCCGCACGGGAGTGTCCTGGACTAAAGAAGTCACAGTCTTCATCGCTGATATCGTGGTCCAGCTTCTGCAGGACTGGGTTGTCATGGTAATGCCCTTGCTGACCCCGAAGCCTCATTTTCTCCCAGTGCTGTACTTCCAGCTGCTGTATGCCAGAAATGAATCCATCCGAGGCCTTTATTTTCCACAGGTCGATGATCAGACTGTGACCTTGCCATTCCTCAGGGAGCCTTATGTCTACGTGGAACGCAAGACCAGTACCATCTTGCTGAACACTAACATTGGAATGAAGGTGCCCTTGTCGTTTCGCAGACCCCCTGTTATCAGGATGTGGACAGTCTCTCCTCATTTTCTTCTTCAGTTTCCCTTATCCTGGGGAGGGGGGTTCTCTCTCTCAGGTGTTGTGGAACAGTAGAGGGCACATAGAGGTCAGTGTCCCGGGAACATACAAGAGCAACGTGTGCGGCCTGTGCGGCAACTTCAACAACTACCCCCAGGATGACATGCGGCTCCGGAGTGGGCAAATGGCAGCAAGCGAGGCAGTATTCGGGAACAGCTGGAAGGTGAGGGGGAAGGGGGGGTTCTCAAGAGGAACAGGCAGGAAACCCTGGGATGCTCCGGGAATCCTGGAGCAGTCTGTGGTAGAAAGGTTGGGAGACCCCAGGATGCTCCGGGGATTGTGGAGAAGTCTGTGGTAGAAAGGTTGGGAGACCCCAGGATGCTCCGGGGATTGTGGAGAAGTCTGAGGTGGAAAGGGCAGGAATGTGTTTGATTACCTGGGACATTATTAACACTGAAATGCATCTAATGCCTCAGGACCTGTAAACATTTCCTCTGATGTTAATGGACTTCCCACCTGACAGGTCCATAGCAGTAATGGCACAGTGACTCACTGCCATGATGGGCAGGACACGGACCCTTGCAAGGAGGCCGGCTATGCAGCACGCAAGGTGGCCAACGCACGCTGTGGTGTACTCAAGTCAGCTGAGTTTGAGCTGTGCCACCGGGTGGTGCCGCCTGAGATGTTCTATGCCGCCTGCGTGTACGACCTGTGCGCCTGTGGGTCCAATGTGGAGGAGTGCCTGTGTGACGTGTTGGGGGCGTATGCTGCTGAATGCCGGCAAGCTGGCGTGCTCCTGCGTTGGAGGTCCCCCACACTGTGTGGTAGGCTCAACGCTCTCCTCTCCTGTTACATATGGGGGGGGGGAGGAGGGACCAGGCTCTGCTTGGTCAGGTCACCTAGTGTTCTGTCTTTCAAAGTCAAGAATCCATTATTGTCATCTTCAACTGTATCATGCATGGGTTACACACTGAGATCGTTCATCATAATACATCCATCCATCCATCCATTCTCTGAAACCTCTTATCCTGGTCAGGGTCACGGAGAGTCTGGAAATCTGGAATTGGGCCCAGTTAGAAGCAGAGCCATTGACAGGCTTGGAGTCAGGGACATTATGATTTAAGGCCGTTAAACATATTCAGTGAGGTCACCTGATTGGCTGGTAATTTTGATCGATTGAGTCGTGAGCCTGTCCCATGTCTTCCCCAGCGGTGGGCTGCCCTCTGGACCGTGGCTTTGTCTTTGACGAGTGTGGCCCCCCCTGCCCGAAGACCTGCTTCAATAAGGACGTGCCCCTGGGGGTTATCGAGTCGCACTGCTTCAAGCCATGTGTGCCAGGGTGCCAGTGTCCAGCCGGGCTCTTGGAGCATGAGTCGCACTGCATCGCTCCCGAGGCCTGTCCCAAGATCATCTACGGCAACTCATGAGGGACAAACTGAGCGGCCCAGAGCACAACTGATGTGCTCAGTGTTTACATTTTGGAGCAGTTTTTAAGTACTACCCACAAGTAATCGATGTGCCTTTATCTTAATGTTTTATAAGCATTTTTGGACAAGCGTACATGTCTCTCCTGGGAGTGGTTCTGCTTTTCCGGCAAGCCGTGTGAGCCGGGATTCAGAGCTGGGATCTTTCTGGAGAATATGATCACTGGGAATTTCACAACGAACCCCTGAAGTGTGGAAAGGAAACACTAGAGCAGAATCACGATACCAGCACAAGAGCACAGTTTCCTGGGTCACACAGAAAAGCACAGCTTCACGTTTCAGGCAGAAGAGTTCAGATTCCTGGCTCATGCAAAAGAGCACAGCTTCCTGGCTCACAGAGCAGCACAGCTTCCCGTCTCAGGCAGAAAAGCACAGATTCCTGGCTCATGCGAAAGAGCACAGCTTCCTGGGTTGCGCAGAAGCACACAGCTTCCTGCCTCACGCAGCATGGCACAGCTTCCTGGCTCATGCAGAAGAGCACAGCTTCCTGGCTCATGCAGAAGAGCACAGCTTCCTGGCTCATGCACAACAGCGCAGCTTCCTGGATTACACACAACAGCACAGCTTCCTGAATTACACACAACAGCACAGCTTCCTGCCTCACGCAGCACAGCACACCTTCCTGTCTCACACACAGCAGCACAGCTTCCTGGCTCACGCAGAAGAGCACAGCTTCAAGGTTCATGCAGAACAGTACAGCTTCCTCGCTCATGCAGAACAGCACAGCTTCCTGCCTCACGCAGCACAGCACACCTTCCTGTCTCACACACAGCAGCACTGCTTCCTGGCTCACGCAGAAGAGCACAGCTTCCTGGCTCACACAGAAGAGCACAGCTTCAAGGTTAATGCAGAACAGTACAGCTTCCTCGCTCATGCAGAACAGCACAGCTTCCTGGCTCATGCTCTGTGCCCATTTGTGTTTAATGACATGTTATGGGAATAAAATGTGAGTTCTCTGGAAGGGACCATAGTCGGAGCGGCTCAGGGCGAGCGGCTGTGAGGGTCCACGAACTGCTGAGTTTTGGAGTGAAAGCTGATCGTACTGGAGGTGATAGGCGAGGCCCTCTGCTGTTTGAGACATGTGGCAAGTATGCCAGGAGTGGTGATAATGAGGGCGTAATGCTCGCAGCGTGCTGTGGGAAAGGCGTATGAGGTAATCACCCCTGTGATCAGCATGTACAAATCTGTATTTATTTTCACGTTGCTAAGTTTGTTATGCATTCTAGAATATTCTGTTTGATGCCGGCTGGGGAACGTGGGTGTTTTGAAGATGCTTTTCTTGTTCAGTCTGAGATGGGATGCAGCCAAAGATGGGAGGTAGAGAGCTCAGTCTTCGATGAGTCCAAGCGCCATTAAGGTGCTGGTCGCTCCCTGTACTGAATGAGTATAACATGGTATGAGTGAGTATAATAAGACGTAAATGGGGATAACGGCATAATTTGTTAATGACCACTGAAGAGTCACTGTTCCATCCGGAGGGTGGTAACAGCCGGCCATGTGTCACTTTGGAAGCAGGTCACCACTGCCTTGAGAACAGGGAACACCTTATTTTACATTGTGCTTTGCCTTTTGACTCGTGCATATCTGTTTCTTTTATTGTTGACTATATATATTTGTGTAATTTTTACTTGGATCAATAAATCTTTCCCTCTTAATATCATGCAACTGCAGTATTTTACTTAGTGTTTTAAAAATTAGTTTGCTTCTGAATTTACACCAAAAATAGTTTTTCTGTAATTGTGCCATAATTTTGTGACATTTATGACCAGATATGACCAGATTCAATGTGATAAAAACCTTAAAATTTTTACTTTCTGGGGAATTTTTTTTGATCCCCAAAAAGTTAACCTCAGTTTTGTAAAAATAAAAAGTGTGTGTGTGTATGAAAGAGAGAAAAATACAGTGTGTGTATGTGTGAGACTGTTACTGTGTGTATGTTTGTGAGACTGTGTGTCTGTTGTGTTTGTCTGCGAAACTGTGTGAGACTGTGTTTGTCTGTGAGACTTTGTGTGTGTGTGTTAGAGACTGTGTGTCTGTGCCTGTGTGTACAAGACCTATAATTATTTTTTTTCAAAGTCCTTTTCACACTAAAACGAGACGATAATTAAATAAAAATGATTTCGCGAGACATAAGACTATGACGAAGAGTACTGACAATTTCGTCAACGAATAAAAACGAGACGAAAGCCTGTACTATTTAGTGAGATAAAAGCTACGTTACACTTCCTGCAGCCACTTACAGCGCTGGCTTAAAGCGATGCATTCTGGTCCCGACGCAATGCACCGTGGTTAAATTTTTTTGTCCGACTTCAGACGGCGATGCAAAACGTCACCACGCGTCACCATGTCACATGGTTCAAAAACCTCGCGAGAGCAAGAGGACAAGCCCGATCATACAGCACCTTTCAGCCGGCCGCATAAACTGGAACCGCCTCCGTGACGCAGGTTTTTAAAATGTTTTGTATAAAAATAACATTACTTTATACAGTTATTTAAAAGCGTAAACTTTAACGAACATAAAATCACCAATAAACTATGTTTATTTATCCAACATATTATAAAATACATACTGCGTTTGAAAACTCCAGCTGTACGGTTTCAAGTGCTAGATTCTCTGCTGTTAACACTAATACCACATTAGTGCAAACAAAAGGGCTGCAAACGCCGAAGTACGTTTTGCGTTGAGGTTATTCAAATCACGGTCCTCGAGGTCCGAGCACTGCTGGTTTTCCAGCCTTCCTTTACCTGTTAGTCAGGTGTGAAGTCTCTGACCATTCAGAATCAGTAATTATTAAACTAACTACCTGGGAGAACTGAAAACAAGGCCTGGATTTGGAATCGAGGCCCAGATTTGAAGAGCGCTGCCCTGCAGACTAAAGTAATATAACTGTTACATAGACATGTATATGTGTGTGCATGTGTTTGCAGATTTAAACCCCCTGTTGGTTTAATTAGTTTTCAAGAGTTTCAAGAGATAATTAGTTTAAATATTCAGAAAATACTAAGGCTGTTAAATTAGTACATATCTGTGAATATTTTAATATAGACTCTTAGTTTGTGCCTGTAATGCTCCTTTGCATTTTTCTCTCTTGTGCCCTCTGGGTATTGTTTATAGGTTGTATTCACTCTTCTGTTCAACTGTTCAAGAAAAAAAAATATGCTGCCAAAAGTCTGGGCTAAATGTAAGTGAATGAAGATGAAGTCCATTTAAATTGGGGTAGCTTAAACCCGACAAGAAATCTGGCTAAGCATGAAATCCGGCTTTGAGAATCGTGATTCTGGCCGTTTCGAACGTTTCCAAATATTGGTTGTTTCAAATGTATCGAAACTCTTTTGATGATTCGAAATTGCCACCTATAGATATTTGTTAGACTGGCTGGTATGTCATGTTATTTACCTTAGCTCAACCCCCCCCCCCACACACACACACACACTCACTCTTTATGATCTGATACCGATTCATTGTGTTCTACTGCCACTTTGAATGACGATTATTACATGGCATCTAATGCTTAAATGCTACAGCATGTCTGGAAGCAGCCACTGCATATATTACGAATAAAATGGCCAGCTTACATGCACAGTCCCTTCCTTTATTCATCATTGGCAGTAACTATTAGCTGTGATTCACACAAGCAGTGATTCTCTCAAAGCTACTTAAAAAAAATCTCAATGCATAATAAACCCATCATATTTATGGAGAAAATGTTCTACAAGATTACAAATATTGCAATTTAAAGTCACACACAAGAAAAAGTATGATTGGAATAAACTTCAGGTTTCACTAGTATGTTATTTCAATATTTCTGTGAAGATTCAACAGTTCATCACACTGCACCAAAGAACAAAGTATCCTATATAATATATAAATATATTCCAGTTACAAATTGCAACATAAAACAGAATTCTGTTGCTTGATTAAATTAAAATACTCCACTGATACATTTTTAATCACAGGAGACACACATGCTTCCTCAGAACATTTCCATCCCTGAAGCATGGCCAGTCTAGTCACATGACTCACTATCACATGACTCATAATTCTACAGTTAAGTATAGAGTTTATTCTTGCTGATTTTCGAGTTCAGGATTTCCAGGTACTCACAAACATTTTAATTAAAACCTGACTGCAGTGAGTTTACTGCTCTCCATATTCAGCTCCTTTTAATGAACCAAAAAAAGTACCACGAATGTCACATGTGTAAGATGGGGTCCCATATCCCATAATGCCACTTGGGTTTTGCAACTGTGCAAAATTTACTGACTGCCAAGTGTATAACCTTCCCCTTGAGTGTCCCTGTGAAAGTGAGGTGACATCAAATACAATTATACACATAAATATATCTGTAAGTGTGACTGGACTTCCTCTAACATTACATCTACAAGCACACTGGCTAAAAACATGCTAACTATAGAACAGCCACATAAACTACACATCTGACTGTGAATAGCTGTGCGCAAAACAAGGTCTCCCACCTTTCCCAACATGAAATGACACCCTGAAAACCAAAACACAGAATCAAACGGCTATCCTGGGACTGGGGGCAGAGGAAACCTGCTGCAGCCTGCGAAGCAGCAGCCCTATCGGAAGTCCTCTGCCGAGAACATGCCCTTGGCCCTGCGCAGGATGGAGTCCTTGGAGGCGTCGTAGGGGTGCTCCTTGGACGGGATCTCCAGGACGGCGGGGATGGACAACATGTGGCCATCTATTGCATGCCGGATCATCTCAGCTATGAACTGGTTGATGAGGATGATGCCGATGTCGTCGCGGGCCAGGAAGCTCCTGCGGAGGTGCACCACAGACACAACGCAATTTTCTGAATGTATTAGCTTCTCAAAAACATGTGAGGAGTACAGGTATCACACGTTGGACTCGATTTGCCATAACGAACTGCAATCACGGTAGCTCATAACACACATTTCTTCCTTCTTAAAATCGCATGTCAATACAATGAATTTAACATTCAGATCATTTATCCCGAAGTGGAGTTTTTGTGTTGCAGTAGTGATTCACATAAATGAAAGAAGCACACAGACACAACTGGTACCGCACGCAAAAATACGCCAATTAACGTAGCTGGAGGATCGTTTTCTTTCCGGACTCACTTGAAGGTCTCCTCTATCTCGGTGATGCTGGTGTCCTTCTCCACCACCAGGAAGTTGGGCTTGCGGTTCTTATTCAGCTCCCCGACGCCCCCTAATAAAAACCCCGTACATGTGTCCTCATCGCCGATAACGGCGATTAATTTACCCCGTCCGGCCATACTACGTTTCAACCAATATCTACTCACTCCACCAACACAAACTGAATCAGCAGCAAGATGACAGCGGTGCTGAGTGTCAGCTGACTCGCGTGGCTGCTTCCGGTCACATGATTCCCCGCGATTGCTTCTGGTCACATGACTCGCTGTTACTGTTTCTGGTCTTATGACCTCGCGTCACCCAAGCCGGCTCCGTAATCTTTAGTTTACCCATTAACAGCCCATGCATACAGTCAGAATTCTTTTATTCATTTAATACGATAGATACAAGGGATTTGTTTTGGTATTGATGGCGGCATGACGTATATGAGTGTTTGTCAGCCTATACTTTTATCAGGTATTCGGTGTTCTTGATTGTTTCATTAAGGTGTGCTGAATCTGACCTGTGCTCTGTCTCCATCAGTGGCTGCTGAAGGGGCTCACCTACAGCATCCCTGGAAGGAGACAGGTGTTGATGAAGAACTGCAGTTCGAAAACGCCATAAATGGTATTGTGTCCGGCAGCGTCTGGTGCATACAGCAGCAAGAACATAGTGCACAAACGAACATTCATAGTGCAAAACAGACAGAACACTGTGTAAACAAGGTGCAAGCAAATTACACAAATAATAAATGAGTGTCTTAAGAACAAATAATTATGAGGTGGTGGTGAAGATTAGCAGTAGTGTTGAGACTCAACTTGAGAGATGAGCAGGATGACAGCTGTAGCAGGGCTGGTAACTTTGGGCAGCTGACTGCATGGTGTACGATTTTTAATTTTAATTTAAGTCTGCAAACACATTTACATGTATGTGACAGTTTTATTACCTTGCAAATAGTCTGTAGGATTTGCAACTGCCTCAAAGCTGATTTTAGGTTTATGGTGGAATAATATAGATTTTCCATAAGATTTCTTGCATGGATGTGAGAGTCTGAAGGCGTGAGTGTCACACCAGATGTGTGAGAGCTGGTGACCTTGCTGCAGGAATAGGCTGTTCCTCAGGCTGCTGGTGTGAGAGTGGAGGCTTCTGCACCTCCTTCCGTACTGGAGCATGGTACACAGTCTGTGGTTCCAGTGAGAGTAGTCTCCAGTGATGTTGCATGCACTTTTCAGGCATCGCTTACACTGGAGGTTCTCCATGGAGGGGAGCTGGGTCCTGATGATGTACTGGGTAGTTTCTTATCTGTTCATTGATCTAAATGGGATCCATTGAAAAGTCACTTTCCTCCAAGTCATGTACATTATTTTTTATGGTGAATTTTGTTTAACGCATTTTTCAAAATTTCTAACATCTTTTGGCAAATGACCTGAAACAGGCAAGGTAACGTCTAATAGGCTTTTACTTTTTAGTAATGATAATGGATGTGATCTGAACGCACATAGAATTCTCTTCCGGGGTTTTCTGTGAGTTTGAT